AGTTGTTTATTCTAATGTAGTTTCCAACCTTTTGATAMTCGAATRTCCTGGTTTCTCATAGGGCTGTAACAAGTAGCGTTGTAACGAGTTTACAAGTCCTTCCACGTTCTTCTGTTCAGGTACGATATTCACGTGTGGTTTGGTCTTATCGCCTGTATTTCTAAGTATCATCGTGATCGGCCTGTTGTTTTCTTGTACCTCCTGGAGTGGAGTGTTATCATGAATGAGACTTTGATCTACAAGAAGCATCTTTTACCTAATTTAAACATGATTATTTTAGTTCATGATTATAATACTAACGTCTCAACAAATGTTTAACGCTCTTTCGTTGCGGGCATTAAGAAGTGATATGTTGTGACATAAGAACCGTTCAATAGATAAGTACTACTGCCTTGGGGTTTCACGYTATCACGATGATACATACTGGCTTTGTTTATATCTACCATTTACTAGTTTAAAGCCTAATACCCTATTGGGATCGTTATGGTTGTATAATGATATGTTAAGCAGTACCTTATCTAATAATACTGCAATACCCGAGTAGAAATAATGAACGCTACACCAATTCCCTGACAAGAGGACACAGCATATCCACAACCAAGTCTTTCGTGAGTTAACAATCTAAGGTCATTCCTGTGAGCTGAGGTTTGATTATTCAGTCCTTCTCTGAAACCACCAGAGAAGTGCACTTGTGACAGTGCGGTAGGTTTATCAATCAGTTATTTTAACTCGAATATAAAACTTTTGACATTTTTGTCTTGATGTAGATTTCACTGCCCACTGATTCTAAAAATACTTTGGTATTTTGTTATTTCTGTATATGAAAATGAAAAGGTGGAAAAATTATCTCAACTGTTCAATACCATTTCTCCAGGTCTTGTCTCTTTTGTTCTAATGCCTTGATTTCCTAGTGCAATTTGTAGCGTTGTTTTGTACTATATGAAGAACCGTTGTCTRTATTCAAAGTATTTTGTAAAACGTTGAAGTTGTTTTTGCATGGTTGTATAGCAACGCTTTGGATGGATCCCTATAATTGTTCTTCACCTACACATTTCTTACAACCAGAATTGAGTTGACATTGATGCTTTTAGACCATTTAGACTGAGGAAGCCGTTAACATTTCCTTTTTTTAGTTGAAAAGGAAGGATTCCAGGAAATAGATCTGGTTGAATAGGGTCGTCCAGGTCAAACCTCAGTCTTTATCATTACGTCTCAGATCATGATTGTAATGATGATGATGATGATGCGCGTATTGAAAATTAAAAGGCAACAAGCGTAAATTAGTGTGAGCTGCTTTCGTGTAAGGATAAAAAATTACACGATACAAAAGTTAAAAAACTTTCTGTTGTTTCATTTTGGTCGAAGAACTGTCTGGCAGAATCGATAGTTTTTGATTACCTTGTGGGCAGAGGATTTTAATGTCTTATAACCTTCTCCTCAACAGTTGAAGGGCTGGTAGTCTTTAATCTACAGTGTACAATTCATTTTTCGTAACAACTAAACGAAAATAACGATGTTAAAATAGTGGTATAGAATTTTTTCAAGCATTTTCCTCAGAAGCAAAGTTTAACTCCAGTTCTATTATTTCCTATCGAACAACTACAGGAATTACTGTAATTTCCTTTCCTACAATCGTTCCTGTATTAGTCGGCTTTGAGCATCACGATAACATTTATCGTTTGTTTATAAGCTGATAAAAATCTTTTCTTTAATTGAACACTTGAAAATACAAAATATCACTGTTAACATTGCTCACGAGAACCCGGACATTAATCCTTCATAGAGTTTGTCGATAGAATAATGAAATAGACTGAGATTGCAGGAAAGGCTCATAAAGTAATACATGTATTGTCTGAGAGGACTTCATAAAGGCACAATAGATGTCTCTTCACACTGATTATTAATGACGCCCTTTAGATAGAGATGTCGTTCGGGTCACAAACAGGGCATATATGTAGTCGTTATTTATAAATATATACGACCAAAATACATTTACTTCTGTGAAGTATGTTACCGTTGACTGTTGAAGCCTGTGTTAGCGGGATATCACAGTTTATAGTCCATTCTATAAATTACTCTCAGCTAGACCATCCAATATATTTTTTGTCAGTAAATCGATTTTTTTTAATTAAAAGGTTAGCAATTTTAGACATGTGTCCAAAAGTGCATGTCTGGTTTATCTGCAGTATAATTAGTCATGCAACAATGCAGTATATTAATCCTCTTCTAAGTAAGTGACACGATGAAATGTTGCTTCCTCAAGGTTAATGGCGTGCATACAAGCAGCATCCTAAAGATTTTAATCCTTTTAGTCTGCGATCGGATCCGCGTTAATCATTGTTATTGCGTGAAGTGTGCCTGTGTCAACAGGGAATGGAGGCTGTTGTCTTAGGGTTTTGACTCGCAAGGGTTGCGTGTTGCCGTTTATGAGCTACGTATTCACGTGCGTTTTATGTAACGTAGCGTTCATGGTCAATAGTATACTACCTTATGAYGTACAGATTACGTAATGCTGTATCAGCTACGTTACGACATGCGTGTCACGTAACGTAACGTGTCTCTTTAGAGGGTTACGTATTGAACTACGTATGGTTTGCGTATTACGGTGTGAGCTACGTTTTGACGTGCGTGTCATGTTACGTAACGTGGCTCATTACGTACTGACGTATGGTTTGCGTATTGCGATATGAGTTACGTATTGCTTTATCGCTGAGATATGTATTGACGTATGATTTACATATTAAGGCAATTAATTATCAATTATTAATAATGAATTGTATCCTAAGTTCTCCCAGTAGCCAGGGGTATTTTTATCTTCTTTGTCTTTCTCTTAATCTTACACGCAGAGATACAAATCGGCCTTATACTTATAATAATCATAAGCTTATAAGTACCCTAACCCTGTTAATTTTATATTTCTTCAGGCATGGTCATGGTCATTGAAAATAGCACTAAATATATCTCACGGGCCTTCTGTCAATTGAACTGCGGTATTTTTTAGTAAAACATGCGCGCGTTTTATTTCTCCTTTTCAGACAAACAGAATGACATTCTGTCAAAATAAACATAAAGAAATCCTGATAAAGACTAAATTTTTGACCTTGGAGCTAAAAATATTGCCAGGGTATGAATTTTTTGCGATAATTTCTGAATTTTTTAAGTTCACTAAAAAACAACTTCTTCTTGCGCACTCAGAGCTGCAGTTTTCTTTAAATTTTGAACAAAAGGTTGAAGTTGAGGCTTTTGGACGACGCTGGCCAATAAAAACGAAGGCTCGAGCTTGCTTGTATTGCCTATAACCTCTCACATCAAAACCGCAGACCACCAGCAACGAAGACTACGAATGCTTGAGACAACATTCATGATAAAATTCCATCTTCTTTTAATTAGGAAGGCGTTATCGTTAATGTAGTATCAGCTTTATTATCATATGGTCTATAAACTGTTTAAAAACACCTACATAAGGGCGTCGTAATAATTCCATGATATGGTTTCTCTTTATACTGCTTCTTAAAACTAATTAATTGTTCTTTATTTGCGGTAATATATTAACAAACCTTTCAACGCTAAACGTGTTACTACTTATTAACCCCCCAAACATTGAAACACGTTAATATTACCCGTAGTTTTATCCATCTGTTGAATGATTTGTAGACTAAACTGGATAACATGTGTTCTGAGCACAGAGCACAGTTCACAAAGGTCGCGAGCAATTCGTTTTTAAACAAAAATACAATTTTTCCTTAGCTGGTTTTTAGATATACTGGTTCCATAAACATAGCGTAGTATTTGCCCCTCGGTTTTTTGGTTTGTCTCTCAAACTAGAGAGTCACGGCCGTGGAGCGACGTGAAAATTGACGACAGAGAGCGAACTGTGGTCGTCTAATGGAATCAATCTAGTTTCATAAAGGTTGTCTGTCATTCTTATGACCTTTCATGTTTAAATGAGTATTAGTGTTTCTTGTAATATCTCAGACAAAAACAAATATAGTTGACACTAACTTGCATAGAGTTGTCTACTCTTACTACAAAGCCAAATGGAGTAGTTCCTGTTTGCTACAGCTGTGGTTTTGCACAGGTCAACTTACAAACTCCTAAAATTAAAGAATCATAACCACCCGCCGTACCTTGCGAACCGAAGCGCCATTTTAGGTGGACACGAAAATGGCGGATTTGTAGGATTTCTTAAAGTGAGCGCAAATCGTCTAAGTACCTCACAGGTACTATCAATCTATAATCTATTGTATGCTTGACGCATTTAAACGTATGTAAACAATAATACGAGCGGGCAAGGTACGACTGGTGGTTATGATTCTTTAATGAAAGGTATCACAGGGGCGGGAACTAAACGTGGACCATAGTCGTACCAGGCCACCGCGGCCGCCCCTCTGATACTTAACACTACAAGCAAACAATAAAAAATAATAATAATAAAAACAACTATATAAACAAAGTAATATAACAGTTTATGAACCTACAAACAAGCAATCTTGTAACTATACACTCTTTTTCCTTATATTTTACAGAATAAGCACCAATCGCATCAAAGAGGAAACTATGGATTCAGAGTTGAATCTTTCACACGATGTACAGTCCCGTGTGGGGGAGGTGAGGGTCAAGTGTTCGTTTTATTCAATGGTTGAATCACAAGGTCCACAAAACGTTGTATTATCTTTCCATTCTAGGCCTACAGAAAGCAGTGTTTGTATGCTACGATATGACATCATCTTTAAGAGTTAACCAATCAAATTGCCGGCATCTAAAATCACCGCAAATATACCAAAGAAGGTGTAACAGAAAGCCTTGTAAACACAGGTAATTCTTTTTATTATATTCTTAACTACTGTGTACGATTACGCGTGATTACGTACGATTACGCGCGATTACGTACGATTACGCGTGATTACGTACGATTACGCACTAATGTGATTGGATCGCGCGCAGCCACGTACGAATTAAGCGTTTTTAATAATGACATCATTGCAAAACAATCCCATAATTCCAATCGGTCTCATTCGATAATTTTCGATGAACAACTGTTTTTGTTCCAGTTTGATTACTTAATTAATTTGATGAAGCTTTGTACGTTCGATTCATTTTTCTCTTTTCTCGTATGCAGATGGATAAGAGGGTCATGGGGTCCCTGTTCGAAGTCTTGTGGCGAAGGAACGATGCTTAGACGCCTMAGCTGTATAGATAATAATAATAAAAGAGTTTCAGCATTCAAATGTTTGAATCTTAAACCACCTATGGCGAAAAGAAAGTGTGGACAAGTTGACTGTGCACCTGGATTTTTCATTGGGGACTGGTCTAGGGTAGGATTTGAATAGCTCTATTATATTCCTTGAATATATTGATGACTTATCAATTGTTAGTTTGTTTTGTGAATGATTGATTGCCTGAAATTAACTCATCAGTGATTCGTTCGTTTGTGATCAGTTAAGCTATTGATTGGTTGATTGTAGTGCTCGTCCCACTGTGGAACTGGAACAAAACATCGAAATGTGACGTGTAAACTGCTTCTTGCTAATGGAACAACTAGAATTTTACCTCATGCTAACTGCTCAGGCCTTGTCCCTGCATCTTCAGTACCTTGCAAAGATTTCGGTGGATGTGGTAAGCCTCCTTCCACCTTGATTGATTGATTGCTGTTTGATTGATTGATTGATTGATTGATTGATTGATTGATTGATTGGCTGGTTGGTTGGTTGGTTGGTTGGTTGGTTGATTGATTGATTGATTGCTGTTTGATTGATTGGTTGATTGATTGATTGATTGATTGATTGATTGATTGTCTGATTAATTGATTGATTGGTTGATTGATTG